AATTTTGTTTTATGTTAAAGATAAAAGATAGTACTCTCTTCAATCCTGCTATATATAAGACCATTTAAGTTAATCATGTAGATTAAGGTGAAGTAAGGAACATCTTTAACTTTAATTTGTTTTTAAGAAAATGATTATATCTTTCTAAATTACCTTTTTAAAATAATGAATGGACTCTATCTTTGTGGTTAAGTTATTTCAAAAATTTGGCTTTGAATTTTTTTTAAACATAGCATATAGAAGATCATAAATATATATAATATATATATATATACTATCTCCAGTCATATTTATAAGATAACTTCTAGAAGTAATTTTTAATTTAAAATATAGGACACATTGTAATAATTAAATCTTTTTTTTTTCAATTTCACCCTTTATTGATTAATATAAAAGTATTTAATATATTTGTGTTATGATTTAAATCTAAAAGTATAAATGAAAGTATGTCTCATTTTTTCACGATATCAAGAAAAATAAATAATTTTTCTTAATATGCATGAAATGATTACAAATGTCTTCATTTCATGACTTGGCAAAGGAGAACAAGGCATCCCATTTTTCTTTAATTTTCAATAATTACATTATTAAAATTGGCTGAATCGAGTGGAAGGGGCAAGACTTGACACTCTATAAATAAAATTATATTGAAGATTCAGATTAATTCTGCTAACAGAGAGAGTCATGTAGGTAGAACTTCTCCTATACATAAAGTCTGATGAACCCAACAATAATCATCGAATTTGGACTAGACAATAATAATAACTCCGAATTAATTAGAACCAAGCATGTTCCAAAAAACAATATAATTAATATTGATGAAGAATATATACTTCACTTAGCTTGCACCGCATAACCAGAGGATGAAGAACTACAGGATGAAGGAGGTGCACCGGATGGCCATTGTTGATGAATTTAACGTAAAGCCCAGACAAGCTATGAGATACTTTTAATGTTTAGAATGTGAGTAAAAAATTGATTCATGAGATATTCAATAATGTTCTTAAGTATGGGTGATGTTGACGTATGCCCAATAATAATAATAATATAATCTTTGAAACTTCTCTACAAAGTGGTGATGGTCAGAACCACTCTTTGATCTATCCTGCATCATCACAAGGGAAATTTTTAATTAGTTTAATATTAAATTCCAGGGTATTTAATTATTAGTCTCTGAATTTTTTTGCAATTATCAATTTAGTTCCTGAATTTTAACTGAAGACAATTTAATCATTGTAGTTTATTGAGCCAATGAATTATAAGGATTGGATTGTATCAAGTCAAAAAATTATAATGACTGAGTTATTCTGAATCAAAGTTTAATGACTAAATTGATAATTGAGAACAACTTCAAAGAACCAAATTATATTGTTTAATTAAAAAATGAAAGTCCAGTTATGTCATATAATAATTCAAGCCCGTAGAGTATAATAACATATTATGGCAGAATAAATTAATAATTGAATGAATCTTTGTTACTTATTCTTGAATAAATCTACGACAATGCTAATAACTTAATAAAACTTTATATATGAAAATATATAAATGTAACATTTCGGGATTATTTCGATTCTTTGAAACAGTTTATAGAGTATATAAAAGAATTCTTCCCTTGTTTTCGCTTTATCCAAAAAAAAAAAATCAGAATTCTTCCCAGGGAAAAAAGCATATATTTGAAGAAAGAAAGTAGAAATTTGTGATGATAGATATGAGTTTTCTTTGCACAATAATAAAAAATAATATAAGGAGTATGATTTGCATTTACTTTAAACTCAAGAAAATTAATGAAAATATTTCACTAAAAAATTAAAATACAAAATAAATAAAAGTTATATTTCATAGACAAAGGATATAAATTAGAAATTAAAAAAAATCATTTTACAAATTTCATTCAAGAGGCATCATTGCTAAAAAAAAAATGTAAACGTGTCTTAAGAAAACAATCTCAGTACCTCTAAACAAACACATAAATGCAAACGTTCAAAAAAAAAAATAGATAGAACACAAAGCCTTACCACGAAAAAATGGCATGTGAACCAATGAAGCTGTATATTGCTGAACCAAACTCATATCAACTCATGAAGAGAGATGTTCATATTTAATAGTTAACCATATTTTGGATACAATTATATCTATGATATAAAAGGTTTGATATTAATTACTTTGTAAGAGAACATCAAGGTGAACCTTGGGATGGCCAGAGAGTTATACACGAACATCTATATATAATATAAGATATATAAGGAAATATAGTAAGTGGGGACTCATCTTTAATTAGCTTTTTTGTAAAGTACAGCCCCAGAATCTATTTATATTTATTATGGAAAAAAGGAGGATGTTTTTATCATAAAAAGAAAACCTCAATTAATTAGATATGGAAGGTGAGGTTTCTTGTGTAATCCAGAGTATTTATGTGCTTTGCGACAAGTTAACAACTGAAGTTACATTACCTTAAACAAGCATATAAAACATCTAGAAAATACCATTTAGTAAATATTTTGACTCTTTTTTAAATTTGACATAAAGCACAAGATCACAATTTAAGTATATTTATAATTTATAATGAAAAAAGAAGGATATTGTTCATGCATAATTGCATATCATATAAAGCATATCTCAATATTAGATATGGAAGGTGAATATGTTTGTGTAATCTAAAGTATTTATGAGCTCCACGTCAGGTTAGAAGCAAATGTTTTAGTTGTTTCTAGATTTGATCTATGCTTTTTAAATGTGTATTTTAAAACATGGTTGATAAATAAAAGGAAAAATTATTAACATATAATTCCGTGAGGAATATAATTTATTTACAAATAAATCCATGAATTTGTAAAAATACTCTTAAGATTTTATAGGGATTTGGTTGTAATAAATTTTTCCTGTGAATTGACACAAATACTCCTTGACCTACCCTTTGTTGATCAATGTTGATTACTAATCGACCAGTCACAAAAAAATTTTATACATCTGTTAAAATAATGATGCTTTAATATTTACGAGTAAATTTTCATTGATTTATTTGTAAATTGATAAAGTTTCACTTATAAATATTAAAGCATCAATATTTTAATAAAAATATTAAAATACAGAAAATTCTTTGTTTGGCCAGTCAACAGCCGCACTGTTGACTATTGACTGCTCCATGGCAAATTTTTTCATACACTTTCTATTTACATAACAATGTATAAGTTACAAGGATCGATAAGGTAGTGTCAACAAGTTTTTCTAATGAGTTAACAAGCAATATTAGTAAATTAATAAGTTAAATCAAAGTTTTAATAAATCACCAGGATTGAATACGCATGATGTATTGTCAACAAACTTAATGGTTATTATTATTATTATTTTTTATGCACCAAGAGTGTTGGATTAAACCCCCTAGCCACCTTGGGGTATTTATCTTTCAGTGGCCAGCGCCAAAGCTCTAGTCCGACAATGGAGTTTTGGTGAGGTAAATTTTTTTAAAAAAATAATATATAAGAGCATAATAATCAGTTCCCTTCAAAACTTATTTTTAATTTAGTGTGTTGATTCTACAATGAATTTTTAGAATTTATTAGGCTTGATTCAAAGTAATGTTACATCACTGCACCTATATTAAAATTCTCCCAAAAATGGAGTGTAAAACTTGATCATGTGATTTATGCTTTATTTTACCAAAAGATATTGAACATTTGATGTAAAGTTTTCCTTTTGGAAATGAAAGTCGCGATGGTAATTTCATGTTTAGAGACAATGTGTTAGCGTATCTTTTTGGTGGACAGCAGATCTTGAGGGTGAACATTAAGAGAGTAGTTTGAATTCACTTGAGTAAAATCAGGTAATTTAAATACCAATGAAGAATATCTTTTCAAATGAATAAAAATAAGATACATAGATTTTCTACAAATTATCTAAACAACATTAAAAGTAAAGCATCTTTTCAAATTATTAATGAGTGATGATTTTAATAAAAAGAATCATGGTTATTTAAATATGAGGTTTTGAGTTTGAGTATGTGTGAATACAAAAATATCTTTAAAACAGCTATCCTGAGTTCAGCCAAGCAATGGAAGAACATCTTTTTAAATTAGGTTTAAACAAAAAATAATGACCTTTTATCCTTTTCTAATTTTTAAACTAAGAGCTTGTAAATAACTTTATGTTTGCTTTTTTATTAGAAGACTTTTGTTGGTTGAATAGCGTTACTAAGATTTTTTTTTTTTTTATTTACACCATCCCTCAATTTTCTCTATATCTCCCTCCTTTCTCTTTCCTCTCTCTCTCCGTTTTCCCTCATTTGTTTAAGAGAATGGCAATTAAATCTCAAAACATTAAATTAATATCAATTAAATTTCTGACAAATTTTTTTAAAAAATAAGTATGACAATGTCGATTCAAATTACTATAAATCCAAAAATTTTACTTGCAAATAAATATTTAAATATCAAATATAATTTTTAGATTATAACAAAAATTTATGTTTATAATTATTTGAATTAATATTAATAATTCCTTTTGTAAAAAATTTTTTCAAACCAAACTGTCATTAATTTATTTTAAAACCTAACTATCGTTCTCCTTTTTTGTTTAACATCAACTTATAATAATCTCAATTTCTTAGACAAGACTTGAGGGAAATGTTAATTGATACGATACCATGACTCCATGACCATACAGATCACCCCCTTTTTCATAATCTTAAATTATTAGAATGCCGGACAAATGGAGAGCGTGCATCAAAATGTTGTTATTGATTCAAACCTTTTTTTATTCCATAGAAAATTCGACTGAGTTTTATGTTGGCTATCGATAATCCAACACAATCCTCCCCCTTTATTCACATTTAGGACTGGCTATGAAACATATACCAAGTTTGATACAAATCTTGTTATCTCAGAAAAAATAAATTCCTTTCTCAACTTGACAATCAGAGAGTAATCTTTCTTGCGTCCATGTTTATTGTGAGCGCATATACAATACAAATATACACTTCAAAAAATATATTTGCACACACAGGACAGAAAAAGACAATTATTTGAACTTAAACCTTAATTTGAATGGAGAGAAAAAAAGGAGGAAAGAAAATTAAAAGGGAAAACTCCTAACGTAAAAATAACAAAATCTCACCTAGTTTTCTCTTCTTCATATTTTCTTCCCACTTTTTTCACCATCCAAGCCAAGCTAATGCGTTTTTGGATGCAGATTAAGGTATTGAACTATTCTCTTTAGTCTCTCTAAGAAGTACTGCTTATGACGAAAGCATCCATATAGACTTAGCTCCTAGTTTTTTCATGCGGGTGTGTATAATGCACCAGTAAATATCTGTTTTTGTTATGCATGAAAACTCCACACAAAAGCGACTTCAGCAACTACTTTTACTTAAAATGGTATAAATGTGATTAGTTGTATACCTTAATCCTCAAATTGATCAAAATTGCAAGAATTCTTCTAGCTTTTCGTTTTCACTTCCAAAGGAGGAAAGAAAAATCAAAGGCCTGGCACTGAAAAAACAATAGTCTTCTTGTAGGTTTGGACTGAAACTCCGAGCAAAAGGGTAAGTCTCCAAATTCAAGCCTTCTTGGCTTTCTTTGAACTGCCTTGTCTTTTATCAGTTTCTGCAGACTTCTTCTTGTCCTTCCTTTCTCTCTTCTTCAGAGCAGTCATGTGGGCCTTCAGTATAGTTGCATAGGAAGATTGAAAGCGCTGGTGATCTTTTTGTCCAACCTTCCAACGGGAAAAACCAGTACTTATCAGAAGTGACATCAGCTTATAAAAACATGAAATTATGTTGATTGCTGAGAAAGCAAGAGGTTAGAAGAATCTAAGACTCAGAGTTGACAACAACAACCCTTATCTTATTAGATGAGATCGATTACATGAATTACACAATGCTGTTGCATTCATTTAAAACTCTCTACAAAGTGGGATGCAAAACTTTACCTCAAAAGCTAGCTATTGAAGTGGGAAAACCAACCCATTTAAATACTCTATTGAACATCCCATACTACTCAATGTGAGACTTAGTATCCCATGCCAACAAGTATCCATCAATTGCCTCCCCTCCAATGGGAAGCCAACGTCTACTTCCTACAAGTCATAACTCTCCATGGATAACCATCTTCAAAACTACCGACAACTAGGCTCTAATATCAATTCATAGGTATCTAAATGGGATAGACGCCCAAACTCAAAAAGCAAGTTGCTAAGGTGGGAAAATCAACCCACTTAAATACCCTAACGTTCCATACTGCTCAATGTGAAACTTGATATCTCATAGTCTACCAAGTCTCTATAACACTACTATAGTGTATTGATCACCTTTGGACAACCCCCAATTTAATTCTCGAATCTCATGCTCCTATTGGCAAGGACTAAATCATGATTAACAAGACATTTAACATACCAAGCTGCAAAGTCAAAGAAAGTCAACAGGTCATCCATGCTGTTGCCTTGGATTATCATGCCCTTAGCAAGCATGAGTTTTATCAAATAATTTTAAGGCTCTCATTGTTTCGAAGACAAAAATTTCTACCTTGTGTTTGTTTTGTTAGTAAAACGAATTTCTAGGAACATCTTTTTCAAACGACACAAATTTCCTTTTTTAAAGAAAATTTTTCCTTAAAAAGAATATAGAAACCATGTAATTTTTTTCTTCAAATAGCTGCTATCAGCTTAGCACCTTCACTTACACCCAGGCACGTCTATATGCACTCAAACGCACATAATATATACATAAACAATTGAACCAATGGATATATACACATGCAAGTACAGGCAAATCATGTATGCATATACAAATGTATGAACTTGCACTGATAACCCCCCTCCCAAAAGAGGTGAAAAAAACACACACATACACGCTCTCAGTGCATGCATGTGTGCGTCTGTGTGGGGACAACACATGCAGGCGTATGCATATGTGCTCATCATCAGCCACCGAGCTACCATTCTCAACCTTTTTTTTTCACATAATCCAAACAAAACAGTAGCAAACTTTGGGCAATTTCTAAGCAACTTCCATTTTTCTAGGAACAAATGGAGCCCAAGTTGAAATGAAATTAATATTCCAGATCATGCTTGAGTATATAACTAGATTGTGGGGCCCATGCTTGCACAGACCCTAAGATGAGTAAACACTATTTATGATCTCTAGAGAAGTGCAGGTTCCTATAGATTTTATATTGATATGCTGATACTTGCCAATTGATATTTCAAAGATAAAGTCATAATGTTTGTGAAGGTTTGGGGGGTCTTTTCATTTGAAACAATTGCGTGGACGAACTGCATTGTCATGTGCCTTTTGCATGGATGATCACCAGGGAAACAAAGAGGATTAATCTAGAATCAGTATGAAAGTGATCACCAGAGTATAACACGCAATATGAAAACAAATAAATTGAATGTCAGCTGGGAAATTATAACGTTATCATCATATTCATAAAAATAATGCATATTAACTAAAGATACATCAAGATTGTCAGGATTTATAAACTCACCAAAGTAATCTAATGGCTTTACTTCTTTTCAGTTTCACACTGTGCCTTTTGGTGTAGTTGTCTTCCTAGTCAAGAGCTACAGTTATTAACCATAAGAGAGGATGGGAGGGAAGGGGTGGAAGGGAAAAATTACTTTCCCCTTATTTATTTTGAAGAATGGAATTGCATATTACATTGTGCAGGATTTAAGAATTAAAGTAAGCATTTCCCCTTATTAGGAGGAGATGAACATGTTAGGATTTGAAGGAGAATGGTTCCCCTTCAATCAACTTCTCCTTCAAAAAATATTAAACTCTCAAACAAAGTAAGTGTTTCTATTCCCCCTCTTCCCAACTTTATAACTACTCAGGACTCGGGAGATCATGTCTGTGATTATAAAACTGTTCAACCAAGACATACCATACTAAGATAGTAATAGTCATCATGATTTGTTCTAGAAACATAGCAGTCTCTCTATACTTTTTTCTTACTTAAAGGAGAACTACTACAGCCTACACATGAAATAGCAGAACATTTATAGTACTGCAAAGCAGAAGGTTTTCATCTAAGGTACCACTGCCTTATATGTCTGTAGCTTTGAATCGGGAAAAGAAAATCTCAAGGCCACAGATTTATGATCCGAACCTCTACGATTAACACAAGTGTGAGACCCAGAAAAACACACAGGTGAAAGCAATAGATGATAAATATTAACATAGAAATGCTACCAGAGGGCAAAGACAAGTGAAAATATTAATTTTGAAAAGGTAAGACACATACTGAAGTAGAAATCGTCTTTTTCCCATCAGTAGCGCGAATGAGACATCTATACTCAATTGTTTCACCAGCAGAAGCCAATTTATTCCTCTGCACTTTAGACTTTAACGAGGCTAAAGCCACAACAAACGGCAAAACAACAATAAATTCCCAAATAGATAAAATTTAAATATAAGTCCATGAAGAAGAGAACAATGACACACACATCGTTTAAGAGTAACCCAAACAGAGCCCTTCTCAGTGCTTCGCTCGAACATGCTCGTCAGTTCATTAAGGAACGGATCTAGTTGAAGCAGAACCTAGCGAATTTGGGAAAGTCGAAAACGTAAGGTAGAATGACCCAAAAATATGTTTACAACATTCTGCACATTTCTTCATCTTTAGCTCAGACCATTGCTCTACACAATTTAAAAAAATAGAAATTCAAAAGTAAACAACTATTTTCCTAGCAGAATCCTCGTCTAAAAACAAAAAAAGAGCAGTTTCCTAACATAATTCCAAAACTCACAAACCCACTGGAAATTAAAATCAATCAATTTAAAATAATGACGGATAAATTGTTCCAAGGCTAGTAAATTTCTAAAGGAGAAAAATGGGAACACGCAATTTGCGGCAAATCACTAAAACGAATCTGAGAAACTTGGGAGAAGAACAAATAAAGATAGAATTCACAGAAGATCGATTGAGAGAAAAGACAGAACGGTTACCATAGTTGAAGGTCACAGAATTATCGGAAATTCCGGCGTCAAAGTACGGTGAGTCGGGAAGTAAAGAGAGGATCGAAGACGGGCCTTAGGAAAGCCCGTAGGTGGATGCAGGGCTGCACAAAAAATTGGATTGGATTTCTAATCCAGAGTACGGTCCTTTTTGTGAAAAAAAAAAAATTAAATAACCTGTAGTCTAATCTAGTTTATAATAATTCAAAATTAATATAATTAAATTTAGTTTATAGGATTAAAAGACTGATCCTATTAGTCCATTAGTTCAGTACTCACTTAATTTTTTTCTTTTCTTTTTTTTTCTATAATAAACAATAATCCATTTCAACCTAATAAACTTAATTAAAATAATAAAAACACTTGTAATCATAATAAATCCATAATAATTTCTAATATCAAGAAAAAAAATATTTCAATTATAATCCAATCTCCAAATGATTTAAATTTAATTTCAATAAAAACACTTAACAAAGTTCAATACTACATTACATTTGTCATGTAATTATCTTCTTAGCTTCAACAGAAACAAACTTAACAAATCTTCAAATAATTATCTCCTTAATATTAATAACACTTGAAGCATCTGTCAAAAATAAATTATATACACATATATAAAGTGATTAGTAACTGTAAAAATGTAATATATAAATTAGATGATGCAATATACAAATGTGATTGACGGAGGTGGGCTGGTGGCGCACCGGAGGAGGGCAGGGGCTAGGGCTTCAACACACTGAAGAAATTGAGAATAAGAGCAGAGTTGAGTAAGTGGCTAAGTGCTGTTGAGTAGGTTGTGCAATAGTGTTGAGTTTTTTTTTCAGTTAGAGTGCAAAGTACAAGGCAGGATTAAGACTTTTTTTTAGTTAAAAGACTAGAACTTATTAATTAATAATTTATAAATTAATTTTAATTATATTAAAATAATTATATAGGACTAGACTGGACCACTTAGTCCAGATACTTAGTTTTTAGTCTGATCTTACTCGAAAAATTAATCTTGTCTTTTTGATCCTATAGGACTAGCATTTTACAGGACTGGATAGAACTGAATTTTCATAAGTTGGATCAGATCAAACCAGATCACGAGACTTTTGCACAACTCTATATGGATGTTTGATGAATCCAGCATTCTTCGCTTGGTTAAATATGTGAGTGCTTTGACGGAAGTCAAAAATAAAAAATAAAAGCGAGAATTTCAGTAAGATCCCACAAGCAATTTAATTTCAAAAATAAACGAAGAGATTCTCAAAGTGTAGCGCTGGAATTTGCGATATTTAGTTGCTAGAATTTAAAAAAAAAAAAGAAAAAATATATATATATCTACCACATCTTTTCAGTATACTTTTATGTATATTAATTATTAAGCATATTATAAAATTATACTTTAATTGAAAATGATCAAGGTATCAATTTTTTTTTTTAAATTCACCCATCTAGCAACAGCCACTAGCTACCTAAATAAAAATTTAAAAAATTAAATTGAAATTATGATTATGGTAGCACAAGTAAGACTACTCTATGACGTATCTTGACTTCTTTGATATTATGTACCCAAGGAGGAATTGTCTTCACTCTGGCTTTCATCGGCATGGCTGCCACAATATTGCCATGTGATAGAATTGCTCACTCAAGGTTTGCCAACGCTATAGATGTTAATGAAGATTCTATTTACAACATTAAGAAAACATTCACCACTGACAAATTTATTAATGGTTAAAATCAATTTTTTTCCTTTTCAAGTATTTGGTTAATAAACCAAATAACTGATTTTTTTTAATAAAAAAATTGATTAAAAACATATCCAAACACACACCTAGTCTTTTAAAAAATGATGACTTTTCACACCTGATTATAAAACTAGTATAAAAGAATATTTTTTGTAAAAAAAAAATATTATAGTAGTGTTCTCCTAAGTAAATGTCCAAGTATTAATTTCAGTAATTAAAGAACGATCAATTGATATGAAAAATATGTGAATGCTTTCATGTGAATGTTTTGAAACATTGTCTTCTCTGGTTTCCGAAGACCGAGACCTGGACAATGAAGAAGAGAAACTAAAGCGTAAAAGCAAGAATTTGTCTGTTGTAAAAGTAGACTAGGTAGGATTTAAAAGTAGGAACAAGCCAGTGGTCTTCATTCACGGTAAAACATGACAATCAAAGCCAGCTACCTAACCCAACATGGCAACATTATATGGAACAGGAACCGTTTGACTTTTGTCCTCAGAGATACTGGATACAATCATACAATGCACCCTCTGGGGCTTAAAAAGCTCGGTTCAAAGGCTCGGTAGGGTTGGAAAGAACTGAAACACGACAGCATTTCAATGCAAAGTAAGTCAGTGCCATTCCTATCACCTCACTGATCCAGCGTCATCATTATCATGGCTGCTGCCATATCTACGTCCTCCCAAATCCCCACTCATTTCCATTCCAAAGACCTGACCACGTCATTGAACCTAGTCTCGTTCCAGTAGCTAATGATACAACCATACAAGAAACCCCATTATTATTATTATAATAGTAACAGGAACATGATATACTATTAGCGTTAGAGAGTGGTTCCAGAAATCAGAAATAAATCAGAGGTTGGGATCCGAGAAGGCAGAAAACATGAAAGAATGGATTTTTTATTTGAAAGGCATTGATGAGGATTGAGGGTCTGGTCTCCTCCACTGGGGTTATGAATGGGAGTTGTGGATGGGGGGGACAGACAGCGGCATCGCTCTCTCACGGGTCACAATCCCGACAAAACCACCTCGGTATCAGTGTTCTTTTTCTCACTCCTAAGCGTTGCCCACACGTGGGCGTGGATCCTAACCCACTCGATCCTTTTAATTTTTGAATTCAAACAACAACTATAAATTGTTTCACCAGAGGGCAAAGACAAGTGAAAATATTAAGTTTGAAAAGGTAAGACACAAACTGAAGTAGAAATCGTCTTTTTCACATCAGTAGCGCGAATGAGACATCTATACTCAATTGTTTCACCAGCAGAAGCCAATTTATTCCCCTGCACTTTAGACTTTAAGGAGGCTAAAGCCACAACAAACGGCAAAACAACAATAAATTCCCAAATAGATAAACTTAAAATATGAGTCCATGAAGAAGAGAACAATGACACACACATCGTTTAAGAGTAACCCAAACAGAGCCCTTCTCAGTGCTTCGCTCGAACATGCTCGTCAGTTCATTAAGGAACGGATCTAGTTGAAGCAGAACCTAGCAAATTTGGGCCCCGTTTGGTATGATGGAATAGTTTTTGATGGAATTGAAATTGGAATTGAAATCAAAATTGAAATCAGAATTGGAATAGAATTGAATTATAAAAGTATATTTGGTATGTCAGAAAAATTAGATGGAATCCTTGCATTACTTTTGTTTGGTATGCAAGACATAGAAATGGAATTATACTTAAAAGACAAAATACCCCTATATAAAAATTAAAATAAAACATAATAAAAAATTAATTGTGTACCAATTTTCTTATGTATTTTATATATTAATAAAATATTATATAAATCATAGATTATATTTGTAACTATTATTCACTATCTTGGGCCAAACAAAAAGTTTTATCATCAGAGGGAACATTTTCTTGAAAATAAAATTGGCAATGGTTCACATCCCTTCTACTTTAAAATAAATACACTAACATGTAGATTTAGAAGAAAAATGTCAAACAAATCAATTCTACTTCTTATACCAAAAAAATATTATAAATATATAAATTATATACAAATATTATATATAATACCATCTTATATATATATTATAACGCTTTATATATAATGAGAAAAAATATTATTCACCCTTTTATACTCCCTTTTTCTTTTCTTTTTTTTGCTAGCATATGAGGGTTTTATTTTTTTTGAGGGCAAATTTGTCTTTCTGGAATTTGTATGAGGGCAAAAGTGTCTTAAATATTATAATTCCATAGAATTGCTCCCAATTCCATAGATTTACATAAGGAATTAAAATTAGCTTTTTTTCATAGAATTAGGATTCCCAGGAATTGTAATTCATATCTACCAAACATCACTTTATTCAGATTCCTATCCCAATTTCATTTCCATCTTCACAATTCCAACCTACCAAACATGGCCTTGGGAAAGTCGAAAACGTAAGGTAGAATGACCCAAAAATATGTTTACAACATTCTGCACATTTCTTCATCTTTATTTGGGTAAATAAAGGTCATTTTTATAATTTTTTTAATTAGTTATCTTATTCGCATTTTAAAAATATGCATATCAAATATATATTAATTAATTAATTAATTAGCTTCAAAAGTTTCATTACGACATCAGATTAGTGACATGCATGAATTAATGAACTTAAATCCTTAATACACACAGGTTAGTAAGACAATTCCAAAAAACTATGATTAGTTTTCTTCCTTTCTTTAAATCATCAGCTTTTATATAAAATAAAATATATTTTGATATTTTAAACTTTTAAAATGATAAAGTTTTGTATGTTTAATGACTTTTAAAAAATAAAGGAGTGTAAATGTGATATTTTTATTTAAAAAATATAAACCTTATTATTTTGAATTTTAAAATATTCAAATGCTTCTCATTTTATATATGTAGAAGTTAATAATTTTAAAAAATGAAATTTAAAGGTTGCAAACCACACGGACTCTAAAGAGCAAAGGAGTTGGCTAATCCAACAAAAAAAACAAAAAAATCACGACATCGAGTGACGTAGGGGGACAAATGGTGGATTCACGTTGTGGTGAAGGGATGCAGATGAAAAATTACAAGCAAAGCAAGCAATTCAAGCCGACTTGAAAAATTTTAAAAAATTTTGAAATACTCGAATAGCATTTTAAGTTCTTAAAACAATATATTAAATATTAATTGATGCCACGTGTAGGGGGGATAAAACCTGAAGGTTGCAGCCTAGGATTATGATAATGGATTGTGGTGTCGCTTCTGTGAGGTACTAACCTCCAGATGGAAAGAAATTCAATGTTGTTAGTGTCACATAACACCAAAAAGGTACCTTTTTTAAGTTCCATTTCAAATGGAGCCAAACTATAGATATGCATGTTTGGACCTTTTGGACCGAAAGTGCCAGCTTGCCTTGGGATCTTGCGCCAGCTATCAATGGCTCATATACCAAAAAAGTTGTTCCAGTTTATTCGGAAAAACGATCATGAGTTGAAACATTTTTTGTGAGTAATTTATAAATACTTCTTCTATAACTATTTTTTGAGCCTCCAAGTAAGACGATTAGTGAAATGCGTGAATTAATGACCTTAAATCCTTAAGGTTTCCTTTGTAATAAATAATTCCTTAATGTTGACGGGCTTTATAATTGACCCTTTGTTATGTGCTATCAATTATTCACAAAAGTCGAATTTAATGTCACTTCAACGTCATTAATCCGATCCCTCTAATTCAATGAGACCATTGACCCTTTAATATTTGTTTTTCTTTTTCCTTTTCTTTTCAAGTCACCTGAAGACCCGTCAAATCAATCAATCAATCATTGAAAATAGTAATTAACTATAATTAAGTTTTTTTTTATCAAAAATCTATTTTTTTTTTCTTTCTTTCTTTAAATCGTCCGCTTTTATATAAAGATAAAATATCTTTAGATATTTTAAAATTTTAAAATGGTAAAGTTTTATATGTTTAATGACTTTTCAAAAATAAAGGAGTGTAAATGTTATATTTTTATTTTAAAAATACCAAAAGCGCTCTATAAAACCACGCCTTCGATCTCATCCTCTTCATAGCTGAGTCCTCATAATGGCCAAACCTTCTCTTCTGTCTCTCCTCTCTCTCATCGCCGTCATCTCAGTCGCCGCCGCCGCCGCCTCCTCCACCTCAAACTTCATCAAAACCTCCTGCAGCACCACCACATACCCTTCTCTGTGCTTGAAATCTCTCTCCGACTACGCCCCGACCATCCAACAAGACCCTCATGAGCTCGTCCAGACCGCTCTCTCCTTCTCCCTCAACAAGACCGTCGAGACTCGTGCCCTCGTCTCCAAGCTCCGGTCAATCTCTGGCCTCAAACCCCGCGAGCTCGCCGCCCTCCGAGACTGCATCGAAGAGTTGGCCGACAGCGTCGACCGGCTCGGCCGGTCCTTGAAGGAGCTCGAGCTGTGCAAGCCAAAGAGCGAGGACTTCACGCGGCACATGAGCAATGTGGAGACATGGGTGAGCTCTGCTTTGATGGATCAGAGTTCTTGCAGATATGGATTCGCCGGAAAAGCTTTGCCCGGCCGGATCAAGGCTTCTATCAGAGCTAGAATGGTTAATGTTGCTCACGTTACTGGCAATGCTTTATCTCTAATCAACAAGTATGCGTCTGGTAATTACTGAGACATAAATTTATATATAGTAGAGGAAGATGAATCTCTCAAGATATATATATATATATATGGTTTCATGTTTTGTGTCTCTGCGTCTGCACTTAGCTTTTGGTTCTTGTTTTTTTTTTTTTGGGACAACATGTTAATAATAAAGTTGGTTTGATTTGGTTGATGTGTTATTCAGCTTGTGTGATATGATTTAAAATTATATACATAGAAATCTGCAGTTGTTTTTATTTATTTATTTTTTAGATTTTTGTGCCTTACTTATTTTTTTTTCCTCTAACAAATGTGCTGTATTCAATATACTACATTTAAGATAAAAATATTAACAAGGTATTGTCAACAAATTTTTCACAATATTAATAAATTAATAAGTTAAATTAAAGTTTTAATAAATCACAAAGATTCAATACGTATAAGGTATTGTCAACAAGCTTAATGGTTATTATATTTTTTTTATGCACCAAGAGGTGTTGGGTTAAACCTCCCTAGCCACCTTGAGGTATTTATCTTCTAGCGACCAACACCAAAACTCCAGTAGTCGTCGTGACGGTGATTCGACAATGGGGTTTCAGTAAGGCAAATTTTTTTAAAAATATATATATAAGGAACATTATAATCATTTCTCTTTAAAACTTATTTTCAATTTAGTGTCTTGATTATACAATGAATTTTTAGAATTTATTAGGCTTGATTCAAAGTAATGCTACATCACTGCTCCTATATTAAAATTCTCCCAAAAATAGACTGTAAAACTTGATCATGTGATATATGCTTTATTTTACCAAAAGATATTGAACATTTGATGTAAAGTTTTCTTTTTTGGAAATGAAAGTCGCGATGGTAATTTTATGTTTAGAGACAATGTGTTAGCGTATCTTTTTGGTGGACAGTAGATTTTCAGGGTGAACATTCAAGAGAGTAATTTGAATTCACTTGAGTAAAATCAGGTAATTTAAATACCAATGAAGAGTATCTTTTCAAATGAATAAAAATAAGACACATAGATTTTCTACAAATTATCTAAACAATATTAAAAGTAGAACATCTTTTTTAAATTATTAACCAGCGATGATTTTAATGAAAAGGGTTATGACCATTTAAATATAAGGTTTTGAGTTTGAATCAGAAAATATCTTTAAAATAGCTACCGTGAGTTTAGCCAAACAATGAAAGAACATCTTTTCAAATTAGGTTTAAATCATAAATAATGACTTTTTATCTTTTTCTAACTTTTAAACTAAGAGCTTGTAAATAACCCTCAATTTTCCTTTATATTTTCCTCCTTTCTCTTTCCTCTCTCTCCATTTTTCCTTTAAAGATTCTTCTCTTTCCACTCTCTCCATTTTTCTTTTAAAGTTCGGAAGAATTACAGTTAAATCTTAAAATACTAAATTAATATCAAGTAAGTCCCAAATTTTTTAAAAACAAGTTAAAAATATCAATTTAAATTATTACAAATCTAAAAGTTTCAATTACAAATAAGTATTTAAATATCAAATATAACTTTTAAATTATAGTACAAATTTGTGTTTATATTTATTTAAATTAATATTTATAATTCATTTTGTAAATTTTTTTTAAAACTTAATTGTTATTAATTCATTCTTCTAAAACGTAACTGTCATTGTCCCTTTTGTTTAACATTAACTTCAAATAATCTCAATTTTTTAGACAAGACTTGAGGGAAATGTTAATTGATGGGATACAATGACTCCATAACCATACAGATCACCCCTTTTTTCATAATCTTAAATTATTAGATTGCCAGAGAAATGGAGAGTGCGCATCAAAATGTTGCTATTGATTAAAACTTTTTCATTTCATATAAAATTCAACTGAGTTTTATGTTGGCTATCGATAACCCAATACAAATCCTCCTCCTTTATTCACATTTAGGACTGGCTATAAAACATATACCAAGTTTGATACAAATCCCGTTATCTCAGAAAACATAAATTCCTTTCTCAACTTGACAATCAGAGACTAATTTTTCTTGCATCCATGTTTATTGTGAGAAAAGACAATTATTAGAACTTAAACCTTAATTTGAATGGAGAGAAAAAAAAAAAGAGGAGGGAAGAAAATTAAAAGGGAAAACTCCTAAAGTAAAAAAAAAAAAAAAAATCTCACCTAGTTTTCTCCTCTTCATATTTTCTTCTCACTTTTTTCACCATCCAAACCAAGCTTATGCGTTTTTGGATGCAGATTAAGGTACTGAACTATTTTCTTTAGTCTCTCTAAGAAGTACTGCTTATGACGAAAGCATTCATATAGACTAGCTCCTAGTTTTTTCATGCGGGTGTGTACCTTAATCCTGATTTTTGTTATGTATGAAAACTCCACATAAGGCCACTTCAGCAACAACTTTAACTTAAAATGGTATTAAGTGGTATTAGTTGTATACCTTAATCCTCATATTGATCAAAATTGCAAGAATTCTTCTAGCTTTTCGTTTTCACTTCCAAAGAAGGAAAGAAAAATCAAAGGCCTGGCACTGAAAAAAACAATAGTCTTCTTGTAGGTTTGGACTGAAACTCCGAGCAAAAGGATAAGTCTTCAAATTCAAGCCTTCTTGGCTTTCTTTGAACTGCCTTGTCTTTTATCAGTTTCTGCAGACTTCTTCTTGTCCTTCCTTTCTCTCTTCTTCAGAGCAGTCATGTGGGCCTTCAGTATAGTTGCATAGGAAGATTGAAAGCGCTGGTGATCTTTTTGTCCAACCTTCCAATGGGAAAAACCAGTACTTATCAGAAGGGACATCAGCTTATAAAAACATGAAATTATGCTGATTGCTGAGAAAGCAAGAGGTTAGAAGAATCTAAGACTCAAGAGTTGACAACAACCACCCTTATCTTATTAGGTGAGACCGATTACATGAATTACACAATGCTGTTGCATTCATTTAAAACTCTCTCTACAAAAATGTCACCATGATGGGGATGGGCAACTAAGTGGGATGGAAAACTTCACCCCAAAAGCTAGCTATTGAAGTGGAAAAAACCAATCCACTTAAATACTCAATTGAACATTCCATACTACTCAATGTGTGATTTTTAGTATCCCATGCTAACAAGTCTCTATCAATTGCCTCCCCTCTAATGGAAAGCCTACATCTGTCTCCTGCCAATCATAACCCTCCATGAATAACTATATTTAAAACTACCGACAACTAGGCTCTAATGGCAAAAAAATGGGTATCCAGGTGGGACAGAAACCCTAACTCAAAAAGGAAGCTGCTAAGGTAAGAGAATCAATCCACTTAAATACCTCATTGAACATTTCATACTACTCAATGTGGGACTTGGTATCTCATATTCTACCAAGTCTCTATCACACTACTATAGAGCATTGATAACACTTGGACAACCCCCAATTTAACTCTCGAATCTCATGCTTCTCTTGGCAAAGACTAAATCATAATTAGCAAGACATTTACATAAAAAGCTGCAAAGTCAAAGAAAGTCAACAGGTCATCCACCTTGTTGCCTTGGATTTTCATGCCCTTAGCAAGCATGAGTTTTATCAAATAATTTTAAGGCTCTCATTGTTTTGAAGACAAAAATTTCTACCTTGTGTTTGTTTTGTTAGTAAAAAGAATTTCTAGGAACATTTTTTCATATGATACAAATTTCTCTTTTTAAAGAAAATTTTTCCTCAAAAAGAAAATAGAAAACATGTAATTTTTTTTCTTCAAATAGCTGCTATCAGCTTACCACATTCACTTACACCCAGGCACGTTTATATGCACTCAAACGCCATAATATTTACATAAACACAATTGAACCGATGCATATATACACATGCAAGTACAGGAAAATCATGTTTGCATATACACAGGTATGAACTTGCATTCATAGCCCCCCTCCCACAAGAGGTGAAATGACACACACATACACGCACTCAGCGCATGCATATGCGCGTGTGTGGAGACAGCATATGCAGGCATACATATCTGCTACCATTCTCAACCTTTATTTCACATAATCCAAAAATAGCAAATTTTGGGCAATTTCTAAGCAACTTCCATTTTTCTATGGAACAAATGGAGCCCAAGTTGAAATGAAATTAATATTCCAGATCGTGCTTGACTGTGCGGCCCATGCTTGCACAGAGCCTAAGATAAGTAAACACTATTTACAACTCTAGAAAAGTGCAGCTTCCCATAGATTTTATATTGATATGTTGATACTTGCCAATTGATATTTCAAAGATATTCCAAGTCATAATGTTTGTGAAGGTTTGGGGGGTCTTTTCATTTGAAACAATTGAGTGGATGAACTCCATTGTCATGTGCCTTTTTCATGGATGATCATCAGGGAAACAGAGAGGATTAATCTAGAATCAGCATGAAAGTGATCACCAGAGTATAACACGCAATATGAAAGCAAATAAATTGAATGTCAGTGGGAAATTATAACGTTATCATCATATCATAAAAATAATACATATTAACTAAAGATAAATCAAGACTATCAGGATTTATAAACTCACCAAAGTAATGGCTTTACTTCTTTTCAGTTTCACATTGTGCCTTTTGGTGTAGTTGTTTTCCTAGTCAAGAGCTATAAGTATTAACCATAAGACAGGATGGGAGGGAAGAGGTTGAAGGGACAGATTACTTTCCCCTTGTTTATTTTGAAGAATGGAATTATATATTACATTATGCAGGATTTAAGAATTAAAGTAAGCATTTCCCCTTATTTGGAGGACATGAACATATTAGAGTTTGAGGTAGAATGGTTTCCCTTCAATCAACTTCTCCTTCAAAAAATTTTAAACTCTCAAACAAAGTAAGTGTTTCTATTCCCCCTCTTCCCAACTTTATAACTACTCAGGACTCGGGAGATCATGTCTGTGATAATAAACTGTTCAAACAAGACATACCACACTAAGATAGTAATACCCATCATAATTTTTCCAGAAACATAGCAGTCTCTCTATACTTTTTTCTTACTTGAAGGAGAACTACTACAGCGTAAACATAAATAGCAGAACATTTATGGTACTGCAAAGCAGAAGGTTTTCATCTAAGGTACCACTGCCTTACATGTCTGCAGCTTTAAATCGGGAAAAGAAAATCTCAAGGCCACAGATTTATGATCTGAACCTCTACGATTAACAC